TGTTTTGCCCTGGAAGCATATATGAAAGTTTACACTCAAAAAAGTCAATCACAAAATTAAAACCAACCCCTCCGTCACACAAGAATTGTAAGCCCACGCTAAGCCCACTGACGTGTTGAGTCTCTGATGCGGCTTTGCTGCTCACCTCTGCTCTCTGTTTCAGTTTATGTGAAAATGTGAAAGTTTTTAACGAAAAAAAAAAGAAAAGAAACAGTCACAACCATTAGTCCGTGCTTGAACACAAAAGGATGCTGAATGGCTGTGATACGCTGCAGAAAGCCCACTGATACAAAGGCCAAGCCCTTTGACAAGAGTCTGCTCTGTATACCGACAGGCGAGGAGAGCAGCAAACCCCAGCGCAGAGCTGAAATGGAAAAAAATGGCTCCAGCGCAGGTTTTGCGTTCACTTTAACGCTCTGTATCCATCCATCCATCCAGAGCTACCAGTTACAAAGGAAAGAATTCACACGTAAATGAACTCGTTACCAAAACATAAGTTAGAGATGTTTTTGTTATGACATGAACAGGAGTGTAACCTCAACTACTCCACTATATCACAACTGTGTGCAAAGACAAGTGGCTGTCTCATTTCTCAGCTACAATGCCGGTAACTGCAATCAGCATACTTTCCTTACAGGTACTAATCAGTTACGCTTCCTTTAGTGATCTTTACAACTAAATCATAAATCTACCACTGACATTGTCAGCTTGTTGATTGTTAAGAGGAACCTGTTTGTGAGCACTTTTTATTTCCTCCAAGCTCTCACAACTGGGTCACTATGTCAGCAATAAAGAGGACGTCCTTAAAATGTATGGGAAAAACTATATTGTTCAGGGAAAATAAGCAGCTGTTAGGAAGGAAGAGGGTCACAAACGATTTTAAGCGAACATATCTGCTGTTTTGATTTCATCAGAAAGGTTTTTTGTCACGTATCTTAAGCTGGAACGCAGATCTCCTTCAGTTGGCGTTAATTAGACGTTTTCTGAGATTTTTGTGTGCAGAAAACTTTTCAAACGTACACAATTGCATGCTTGAGATAAAAAACGCACGCACAAACACTTTGAAAGTGAACTGTATTTTTGTTCCATGCAAGCTATGTTTTCCTGCTGTTGACCATCACTTGTTTTAAACAGTGCTCCCAACAGCTAGCTTATGCACAACTCACTGCACAGTAAATATGCTGTTTGCATAGTTATAGGGGTATGTCAGGCAGAGGAGAGACAGTTGAGGGTGTGTGTGTGTGTGTGTGAGGGGGGGTTGTGTGGGGGGGAGTCTTGTCTTTGTTGTCTCTTCCTTTTAACTCCCTTTCTCAGAAATCCTGCCCTGAGGTTATATTCATTGTCCTTTACCAGAGAGGTTGCTAAAGTGATCTGAGCAGGATCTTTTCTTCCAGGAAACCACCAACACATGTGTCAGCACAGCACCTAAAGTGTACATGCACCTTGAATGCTGCACAATCCTGCATTTGAAAACATGCTTAATTGCCACCTGCAAACGGCTCCAGCCTGTCTGTGTCGTGCTTTGTCTCTGTGTGTATTTGTGTTTGCTCAAGCATGATTTTTTTTT